AATGAAGGGGTTGGCTTTTAATGTTTTTTTTTTTCTTTCCCTATTAGGCTCTTTCTAGATTTTACAAGCAGAAGCAGATGGCAGGGACCAGTACATTTTACTTCTTTGTTCTTGCTGCGTGTGAAAGGTGCCAGATGGGCAATGATAAAGATAGAAATCCTCTTCCTGTAGCCCAGGGACAGCAAAAATGCAGAGCTTCAAGTCTGCCCTGTCCTCAGAGATTAGGTTAACGTGACAATATTTGTATTTTTTGGGGGCCCACTGGTTTCACTCTTTGACTTTTTCCCAAGAAACTGACAGTAAACCCCAGTGGCAACTTGACAAGGGCATCAAGACCATTACAATATTTCACACAGGCCACCAAACCACCACCAGGTTTGGTTCACGCGCAAGCAAGCAAAAAAATATATAGGGTAGGTATGAAGTGCAGGGCCAAATCCTTCATGTGAATAACTTGGAAAATTAAATACTGTGTCCTCTGAGAGGTGTTTATTTACTTGGGAATTATGAATTATCAAAATTTTTATATAGGAGTAGTTTGAAGGTATATTAACATAGTTAGCAGCAGCATTCTGAACCATTTTCTTAATGAAGATGGACACCTGTGGACAGGCAGGGCCTCATCCATGACTCAATGAAGTCTGTGTAATTAAATATTAATGTTTTCCCCAAGTGGTATTAAAATGTTAGGGGATCATTTTGTGTTGCAAAGCGAGGAGTTATATATTGATTTTCATTAATCTGGATCTTTTCCTGGAACTGGTTTTATTGCACTAGAGTCCTTTGAACCTAAGTGTTTTGTTTTTTAAAACCACACAGTGTATGATGCTATCTTCCGACCAAGTCAAAAGCAGCATTTCAAGATTAGTGCAGAGATTCCTAGGGTCGCTTGGCAGCTCACCAGGCTCTTGTTCCTGTTCTAACTTAATTTTTTATAATTTCCTTTTATGTTAATAAAGGCTTCTTGTGGCTGTAAAAGTTGAAGTTGTCTTACTCCATAGACAGCCTGGTTCTTATGTAGATACTATTTAGATTATTTAGAAGTCCTGCTGGTTGCCAGATGGAGCTCTTTTGGGTTTTGTGTTAAATACTTGGAAAGCTAAATAGCTTGACTTTTCCCTCCTTCCCTCCCTTCCTCCCCCAGCAAAATAAATAAATACTTACTAACAAGTTGCTCAACTTCAGTTTTAAAATCAATTAGGTTGAAGTGAAATGACTGTAAGTATGAGATGTGTCAGGGTAGGAGAGGTTTGATGGGGTTTGACTTACCTACCATGATTTTAAACTCCAATGGCTTTGCTCCAGGTTCGTTTGGGCAGCAGGAACTTGAACTTCAGTTTGAGGACTGAATCCTGAAAAGCATAGAACCCAGCCTCGAATCTTTCAGTACTGTTTCTTGCAGGGTCTGAACTTCAGATGGAAACCCCAAGATGGTCTTAGACTGCAGTGGCTGTTAGTATTGCTGGAAATAACTCACAGGGTGTGGTTCATTGGTATGCTGGGATGCTGCGAGCTGCTGTATCCCTGAATTAGTTTAACCAACCTTTGGATAACTGGGAGTCTCTGCGGTAGCTTCTGTGTCTCCCACCTCCTTGGTCTGAACATTTAGGTGAAGCAGAGGAGGAGAGATTTGACATCAGCTTCTCCATCACCAGCATGCTGCTCTGTTTACAAATCGTATGATTGGCACTGTGAGCCCATACAGATACCAGGGTGATCTCACCATGGGATGGTTTGAAACTGCTTTTATTCCCCTGATCTTTGGGGTGTGTCACTCTTCAGCCCATTCAGTCGGTTGAGTTCACAGGGTTTGTGTTAGTGTGCCGAGCATCAGCAGCAGAGCTGGGCCAGGTCTGGTTGGCCTTTATCTGGATTTTAGCAATTGTGAGGCTTTGTTTGGTTGATACTTAGGTAAATTGCTGAGGTCTGGGAATGCTTCTTAAAAGAGCAGAGCCTGTTGGGCACTGTGGTGCTGATGAACTGAGGGACCTTCTGTGCCATATTCAGTGTATACAAAGTGTTCCTCCAGCTCACGCAAAATGTGCTTGGAAACACTGGGAGTCAGTGTCCCACTAATCATAATTATTTTGTCATCAATAGCCAATGGTCAAGACAGTAATTTTGGCCTCCAGGGTTATGGTTTTTAAGTACAGAGGAAAAAAATTGTCAATTCCTTGTCATTTTTTTCACTATCTATTTATTCTGTCTGGTTTACATTAAATATAGGAGGTGTGTTGAATTGGTAGGCATGCTGTTCAGGTGTACTTTGGCCCATTTGCTTTCTGAGCATGCACACTATGGGGAAAAATATGGGAAGAGTCAGGTAGATCTGTATGTGCGGTGTGACAAATTATAGGCCCTGTAGCAGTTCTGAATTGGCATGCAGTTAACACTCTGTTCATATTTAAATGCTTCAAATTTAGTCAATGATGTTTAAAAATTTACTTTCTATTAAAAAAATGGCTATGGAATCAATCTGTTCTGGCAATGTTAGATTCATAGTTCAAAAACTTTATCCCCATTTATCATCTTAAAGTAGCCATTAGCCTGAAATGTCTCAGTCTCTGGGTCTGTCTTAAAAAAAAGAAAGGCCTGTATTTCAGTTTTAATATTTTTGAGAGCTTTAAAGCTAATGGGTCGGCCTATTTTTAAATTACAGAGCATGGAAAAATACTGGGTGTATTCTTTTTGATGCTGAAGTGAGCCATTGTTTCTCTGCTCATAATTAAAAACTTGCTTTTTAGAAACTGGGATTGGTTCTAGGCATTGCAAGGAAATCTGTAAGCAAAGCTATCTGCATGAAATTTCCTTAATACTGACTTTAGGCATGAACTCATTCAGAGTCTGTAATCTTGCCTACTCTTGTGACTGTCATATTAGAGCAGTTTGTCCCAACAGCCTGTAAATGGAGCTGGTAGCATCGAAACAGGCTGAAGAGCAGTTGTTGAAGTGAGTGGTACAAGCTCCAGAGACATGAGTGCTGTCTTTGAAACTTCACAGCTATGCGTTGCTGGCTGGGGCACTGCAGGATGTAATAGTCCTGAGGAGTTACAGTGAAATACAGGGCTGAAAAAGCTATGAGCAAGGGAGGTTTGTTTCACAATGTGGGCACAATTTATGGTTTTCAAGGGGTGGGGGAATAATTATTTGGTCAGAACTGTAAGAGTATTTAGGGGCTTAACTCCCATTGATTTTCAGTGGGAGCTGTATGTCTAGATGTTTTGTGGACCTGGTCATTTGTGGTGAACTTTGAATGCCTGTGGGTTTAGGATTAATTATAGAATATTGTGGCAGAGTTTTACTGTAACTCTGTAAGGCTAGAAAATTCACAGCTGAATTATGAACATGGGCCATAATTCTGTTCTTGCCATCCTGACCTTTCCATATGAGTTAAAAGCTCTAGTTACCCTTGCCTGTGCCCTGGCTGACAAGCAGCCAGAAGCCCAGCTCTGCCTCATTTGTCTCTTCTGGTTGCCAGATGCCAGCATCGTGCATCTTACCTTCATATCAGAATCACAGATTTCACCTCCTTCCTTCCACTCTCTGCTCCTGGTGCGACACCCAGATGTGGCACAGAGCTCCCTTTGTACTGTGTTCATGTTACCCTCAACAGGCCATACAGATAAAGACAGTTCATGCTAATTGAGGTCCACATTGCATCAGGAACATACCTATTCTCTTTGTATGCAGGTTCCAACTACCTCAATATCACATACATCCTTTCAAAACAGGTCTTGAAGAGTTGTCTGTAATCCATGTTCCTTGGAACTCTCACACGCTGTTCATCAGAGGGCTCTAATGAGATTCAGAAGAAAGGGTAATATGACTTCAGGTATTTATGAGATGGTTTTTAGTTAGGGAGGGTGGTGGGCGAGCTGGATACTATGAGACATAGGTTAGTGTTGAGCTTAAATTCATAGCAGCTCTAGGTGCCCGTTTCCTAGTGGAGTAGCATTTGGGGTTTGTGTGGCATTTTCTGTCTCTTAACTATTTTGTTCTGCTAACATTATGTATTCAATTAATCTGCAGTTTTGAAGTTCAATAACAGGGAAGTAGCATTTGGGTTTACACTGCTCTGTAAAATCTCTTTTGATGACTTTCCTATAACTTTTCTAAATTGGACCCTGAGGCTTCTTTTAAAATTTCTTGTCTTGCCACAAGTTTTTTTCTTTATCAAAATTACCTTCATTTTCTCTTCAACTGGGGACAAACAAACAAAATCCTGGATAACCCTGGTGTATTTATCCAATTCCCTGCACATCTGCTTTTATGGACAGTTTCAGGATTATGAGAAATCACTTCCTTTGAAAAATACTTTTACTCCTAAATTTCAAAGTCATAGTCTGGAACTGGGGAGCATTTTGTTTTGTGTGTGATTAAAACCACATCTGTTCATTGGGGTAGAAGAGTAGAAAAGGAATGCTTCTCTGTCTTGGTACATGAGATAACAAAAGGCCAAATGTTTGGTGCACTCTACATCATTGTACTGTAGTATACAGAAATGCCAGGCTGCATCAATATTGCTGTTCTAGGCACTGAGTATCCTTTTGATTACAGGCCCAGCACTTTGCAGTCGCTTGTATTGGGGGAAAAAAAAAAAGTCTGTTGAAGGCCCTTGTTAGTACATTATAATGTTCTGTGTTACGTTTGGTTTTGTTTAAGACAAGAAAACTCAAATTGGAATTATGTGCCAATTCTTTATAAGTTCCCACATTTGGCAAAGGAATTGCATTAATTACATCTTGTTTTCTGTACTGTGTCATTACAGAAGAGAGAGCACATGCTGGGCTTGTAAAGGGATGAAATAATTCACATCTTTGAAGACTGCTGTATTATTCCTTTTCCTTTGGAAAAAAACTTTCTCTGGATGATAAATATGCTTTGCAAATGTAGAGTGGTGCTCAGAAGCTTGAGTAAAACAGACTCTTAGTAAACCTATCAGATAGAAAGATGATTAAAAAAGTCAAAGTACTTTTTCAGGTATTTTCCTCAGAGTATTCTTTAGGCATAGTTTTACCTGGTTTTGTTGTTGTATTCATTTCATATTATTGTTGGACATTTGCTCCTCTATGAAGTGTTTTGATAAGTTTGACTGATTTCACTTACAGAAGATGCAGCTGCTGACTGCTCCTGGATCCTTAAGGCTGTGATCTGTGAGATACTGCATGTCCTTCCTTGTAAGACTTCTTTTTACTGATGTGATCTGGAGTTCGCATGAATCACTAATGTCCAGGGAAAATCATTCCTGTTGAGAGAATAAAGCATAAAGAATGTTCAGACCCTGTCTACAGGAAAAGTCTGTAAGATGGACATCTTGTTTTCAGTAACTCTGTCGAACCACCCCCTCTTCCTCAAGATTATGAATTGAAATTAATGAGAGTATTTAACTGTTCATGTCTATCTGGTCTGTCTAAAAATAACAGTTTAAATGTATTTTTATACCAAAAAATAGCAGATTTTTTTTCAGCAGGGAAAAAGGAAAGCCTCTGTTTTGGTTTTCAGAAGTGGACTGCAAACCGATCAATATCCCTTTTGCTCATTAGATGCTGTGTAACTAAGTTATCCCACTGCTTATTGCACTCTAAAATACCTTTTACTGTTGATGTGCATTGACATCCTACAGTTTCATTTTAGAAAAGTGCTCAGCTTGTTTATGTGCTTCAGTCATATTGACAGTATATAAATTCTTCCTCAGAACCAAATAATCCTTGTTAATGACAGAGTGAAATGATACTATGGTTATCTCTAAGGGGAAAAACTAGTGCTTTGCATAAGTCAGATTGATGAGAGTTCAACCTAGTAATTCTAAAGGCTGTTGCATTTGTAGTAGTGTGTTTGAGGACTCTTACAAGCCTGAAGCATACTGTTTTCAAACTGTTTAATTTTATCACTATTCCAGAGTGTACAGAATTGCCTCTCCCAGACCAGGTTATTTGGGAATTAAAGCCTTTTAGACCATACTTAGCAAAAATGATCCTAGCTAGATCTAGTTTGCAGGGTGGGTTCTACCTGCAGATACAAAACTGGGATGTACAGGTTGATCATGTTGTAAGGGGGTTGTTTTAATGCTAATTAAGAGCTACATTGCCTGAGATCGGGTATCTGTGACTTTTCAAGGAAACATGGATTTTCATTTTTTTAGAAGCAGCCTTTTAAATTTGTTTTTATGGGTGAAAGCCCCAGAAATAATGAACTTTGCCTTGATCTCAGTAAATGATGCAGCCATAGGGATTCTTTTAGACAGATAGGGATCAGGTATGGTAGGTGCAGGTATGAGGTATACAGCTATAAACATACATACAAAGGGGACTCAGGACCTAAGACTTGACCTTTCTTCCCCACACGCTTCTCTACAAAACAGTATGATTCTTGCCGTCAAAGAACAGTAAGTACTGTTGGGAATACAGCTTGCTTGAAGGACAGTTAATCATTAAACAGGGGCTCTGGATAGACAGCAGATCTACTAAATACTACTTAAATAAATTGCTAAAAAACTACATCAGAATTAGCATCCAGCTGAGAACTTCTGCTTATAAGCAGGGGCCTACATGGAAATATATTTAGTAATAAGGTAAATGTTTGTCATCCTCATGCTTTGCCAATGATTTTGGGTCTCTGCATGTTAAGACTAGGGAAGAAGGTGGAAACTTGTTTGGTTAAAAAGTACATATCAGTTGTTAGGAAAGAAAAATGTCCTAGAATTAGCTTGGATTAAGCTAGTGGATAGAGAGATGCAGCTCTGATAATTAAGGGATTTGTGGAGCACTGTGAGTCACAGTACCTGTTAGGGGCATTTGGGCCAACTCTACTTACAGTGATCCTTTCTTCTTCATCAGAATGAAAGCTTTATTGTCTACCCATAGGCTGTTACATATCTTCACCTCTCCATATGCAGAGGGCTCTGCCTTTTCTGAAAACAGAGATAAAAAATAATGCACCTCTTTCCCATGAACTGTGTCCCACCAGTCATTGCTGTCCTGGTCCTGAGCATTTCACAATGTAATACTGTCTAGCGATGCTTTACTTTTGTCTTGCTTTTTTGCATTGTCACTCACATGCTCCTTAGTGCACATCATCAGGCTAGGAGCCATTCCTCACCTCTGATTCTCCTCTAATGCTTCCAAAAATCTCTTGTACTCACTTACAAAACCAGCTGGAACTGCAACATCACTCCATTTTAAGCTCTGAATTGTGTTAGCCATTACATTGGTTCCACATGCTGCTTGGGTGGAGACATCAGTTAGAATTCCCAACACGGCCAGTCAGGCCAGGAATTGCAGCTCTGCATAAGTGGTGGTGACTTTCTAGTTCTTGATTACACTATGCTAGAAAAGAGGATTGTTCCCAGAGCAATTTACCAAGAGGGGAAAAATGGAAATACTGTTGAGGATGACCTTCCACCCCAGTGATCTATTTGGCTGGCGTCTGTTATTGCTCAGCTTCTCCGTCATGGGTTTCGCAGTAGTCCGGTGCTTTGTCATCGCTACTAAGTGGAGAACTCCTGAGCTCACTAAACAGTTTGTGAGAGGTTTGTGTAATGGCAGAAGGGTTTATGAATGCAATTGCAGAACAAAGTATTCATCAGGGTTACCTGAAGTAGATATGGGTCCTATCTGAGCAGACTTTAAATGCATCAATTCTAAAAAATTCTGCAATCTGAAGTACTATTCCTTTGTCTAAGATCTTGAGGTAGAGAGAAGGAGAGAGGAAAAAGAAGGGAATTACTTTGCATGGCTCCAGCATGGGAGCAAGAAAAGTGTTGTTGCGATTGTCTCCAGGAGAGAGGCAGTGCTGTAATCCTGTTTCATTTTCGTACGCAGAACTTGAAAAGATTTTTCCTAGAAATGTGTAATGGGACTGTCAGAAAACAGACCACTCCCCTTCCCAGTAGTTTCCTGCTGAAGTCATTTAAGGCCTCTCACAGCTTTCATCTGTGTAGGCACTGAGAACTCGTGAGCCAAGATTCTTTTTTTCAAGTGAAGTGCAGGCAAAAATGAAGCGCTTTAAAAAAAGTCATTAGGAAAGAAAGTTGGAAGTTTCTCTGCATGTGAAGCTGGCTCGCCACTTAATCAGCTTCTCATTTCCTTTCTGTTTCTGTCAATCCCATCGTAGTGGAGCTAGGTGTTTTTCTTGTTTTGGGTACTGCTAAAAGCATGTATGTGAGCTGCCCAAAGGGGCGGAGAGAGAAGTTGTTCTTACTTCACTTCTGGGACTGTCTGTTCAGGGCTTTACACAGGAGGTGACTTGGAAAGGCTTGTGGATTCCATTTACTGTGCACTCAGACCTGATGATTGCAGTAGGCTGAACATACAAAACCTGCTCTGCAGGCAACAGCCCCACTGCAGTAGCTATTTAAAAAGAAAAAATCCCTTTGTGGAGCTGGCAGATAGCCTGCATTCACAAAGATGGGGATTTCTGTTGGTACATATGCCATGTTTAACACAAGGCAGCGTGCTTTTAGAAAGAAACCATTACTACCCTGAATAAATGGATGCTGCTCAACATGCATTTTCTGGTTGGACTGAATTCAAGCTTCCCATTCTGAAATGGATAGCTTTTTTGGGTTGCATTCACATGTCTCTCAGACAAATCTGTAATGTGGGTTTGTTCCTTAGATGAATGATACACATTTCATCTGATTTCTTTCAAGTTGAGCTCTGCCTGGCATAGGAATGATGTTTTTTGCTTTCTTCTTTTGTCTAGGAGACCATGTTGTACTGTGAAAGATGAACGTCATTCCCAAGACAGGTGAATTGCGTTCAGAGGTAGATTTACTGGTACCTCTTTGTAATGCTACAGCAGTGCCATAGGCAACTTATCAGACAGACATATATTGTGGTAGTATTGAGCTGTTCCATGCATCAGCCCTTTTGTAAAGCTTTAATTGGAAGTTATATGTCCTTAAAGCCTAGAGGAGTCTAGGAGTCTTCTCTGCAGGGAATGAATTTTCCTATTTTACTATTAGTCTTTGGGGTAGTGATGTATATACAAGTATTTCAGCCTTAGAGCATAAGGAACTTCCTGAAGTTAGCTGGCCATTATAAACTACATATGCACTTAGGAAAAGAAAATGCTGGTATTTAAGTAGGCTGCCAGCATGCTGTAAATGCAATCCACTATATTGAAATGACACTTCAAGTTTGTATTTGCATTTGCTATGAAACTGTGCATACCTGATGTGCAGTTTTTTGGAGTTGCCTCGATCCAGTGTGTAGGGAAGCTCAATGAGATGCGTACAGCCTGAAGAACAACTTCACGCTGCTTTGAATTAAACTCCCGATCAGGTCCCAGGATCAGATTTGGGACTGATGAGCTAAATGGCATACTCAGATAAAACCTGAGCTTGCCCCAAGCGCCTGACCCTTACCCTGCAGTGATAGCAGGCTCTAAGCATTACCTGTCCCCATCACCTCCCTGCGTTCCATCTGCCTTTGTGATGAGACCATATGTTTGAGGCTAGATAGACAAGATGTCCTGTGGCCTTTCTGATAAGGGCCAACATAGTGTCATGTGAAGACACATGGCACTTTAAACAGTCTGGATTCAGGCTGCCTGCAGGGGCCACCTGGAAAGAGAAGTTGTGTCTCAGAACCTCTTTCTAGAATTGGCTGTCTCAGGTACAGTTTAAGCAAACCAGGGCTATAGCTACGGTCCTGTTTGTGCTGAAAACTTACCCAGCCTTTCTAAGGCTTTAGATCTTCACCTACTTACTAAGGTATTTCTGTTTGTCTGTCTTGTTACTGGCATTCTTGCTGCTTAACTACAGTGGTGACAAAAGTTCGTGTCATACTGAAAACAAGATTTGAACTGAATCCAAAGGCTGTGGAGTCTGTGCAGCTGTGTAATGGGGAGGAGCTGATACATGCTGTCAATGATTTGAAACTATTAAGCATATATGCAAGGAAATGACATCTGAAATGCTTTTATTTCTAGTGATAACTGATGATTTTCACCATGTACAACTTTGATTCTTATAAATTCTTGTATCAAGAGTCTAATCTAGCCACCCCTACTTTTGTGAATTAGCAGTGGTAATTAGAGATGCCTGGTCTATACTGTTGCAATATGTACACACACTAGTATACGTTGATAGCAGGAAGTGTGTAATTCAGAAGCCATTCTGCCAGAATCTCCGCTCTTTGTTCCCTTGTGTAATGGATGGCACCAGTCACCACAAGTCACCGGTGGTGACCTAATGGCCAGTCCCCACTAGTCACCACCTAGTCCTAGTGCAGCAGAGTTTTTATACAGAATCCTTTTCTGTGTGTAAGCGCCCTTGTAAGAATCAGCAGCACACAGCTGGCAGTGTACAAAGGTGGTAAAAACCTGTACAAGCAGTATAAGCCTTACTCCTAACAATAAAACAGAGTGGCTGGCAGAAAGTGGTGTCAGTGGCTATGTAGATTAGGGAAGGATCGGGTGTGTTCAACAGGGGAATAGTGTTTGTTTGGGTTTTCCCTCCTGGGACTAGTTTAGTATTTCAAGCACGTTTGGGAACTTTTTCCCCCCAGAGAGCTAAGATGCAAGACAGTGTGTATGGATCTGAGACAATAAGACTTAACAATGCTTCATAAAAAGTGATTGCATATCCTATAATGCTAGCTTTGTCTCTGGGTGTCTGTATAGACTCTCTCAGTATTTGTTTGCTGACTTTTCTTTCAGCTTAAAATATGCAAGATGATGCCTCTTTCAGCCTGTTGGGGCTGACAAAATACTAAAGATCAACAAAACCATAGAGTAAAATGCAGCTGAACCCAGTCCTGTACAGAGAGTCTCTATGTGTGCTGTATCAGAGGGAACAGCTGGGATCTACTACTGACAACACTCCTAAATCCACATTTTTTCCCATCTGACTGTATGCTTATTTTGCATGCCCTGTCCAGCAAAATGGAGAGCTGATACTTGTCTCCTTTTCACTCACTGTCTGATGGAAGGTTATTTAGAGCAGCAATGTCTGAGTCATTTTGTCTCAAGCTAGTTCAAAAGGCATATGCTGTATGTAAAACTGCTCCAAGAAGATGAAGAGCAACCACAAAGGGACACACTTGTGCAAATCACTATTCAGAGATTTGAAACATAAAAACACATGGCTCTCAAAGAGGCCAGGACCCCAAAAATAATTGGCCAGGGTAATGGAAATTGTTAAAAGAATGAATGGTAGCAGCCACAACCATTGCCAAAATCACTATGGTCATCAGGCTGAGAAATGAGCCTGGTGGCAGTATCCATTTGCCTGATTGAAATCTCATCCATGCACCAGCTCAGAGGCAGATTCCAGAGTAGTCCCAAAGGGGCTCCCAAAATCACAGGCACTGAGCTCCTCTAAGCCTCTTGAGGGAGACTCAGCCTCCTCAGCAGTTAGACAACCACCGATGAAGCCACAGGTTCAGTGGAGCCCTATGTACAAACATTGCATCATGATGTTAGCAGACATTATTTTTGAACACTGCACATCCTGTATTCCATGTGGCTGGGCTTAAATGCTGTGTATCCTGCCAGTATGGCTAAATGTGTGTCAGCAATTAAGGACCCCAGGAGGTCTCTGAAAACTGATGTACAAGCTTGTTTAGCTCGCCTTGCAACATAACTTTTCCCTAGCAGAATATGATCGCTGTAATATGGAAGGGAGCTTTGCTCTACACATGCTAAGTACCCTTATCTGTCAAGTGGCCTAACTAACATAATTAGATTAAACTAAGAGGAATTGAGCCAACCTTGGATTCTGACGCTCCTGTTCAGGCCCAGAGAAAGTTCTTCGAACGCAAAAGCCTGCCTGTTCATTCCAATGATATTAATTGATCTAATAACAATTTTAGATGTACGTTCTCTTCCTACAGAAAGATTACTAGTTCCATCCTGGAATGATCGGTATGTATATAAATCAGAACAAAGGAATCTAACTTGAACTGTTAGCTAAGTTTAAAAAAAGCCAAAGCTGCTGTGTATTAATGTGAGAGCCCTTGGCCAGCTAACTGAGGAAGAAACCCCCTCCCCAGTAACTGACCATTAGGGGTGTGAGCCTGAAGTCACTGTCACACAGAGGATATGGGAGCACATGGAGCACGTCCTTTCCCGTAAGTCAGTCCATGGCTACAAATGTAATGGAATTTGCAGGGTTTTGTGACCATTTCTGCTCCTCAGACCAGCATTAAGAACAGTACCTGTCTCCTGTGGTGTGGAAGCAAACCTGGTTCTACTTCAGAGGCAAAACTCAAGGAGATGGAGAGGGGTCCTGGAGTCATAATACGAAAATCACTAGTTCACACCGACATAAGCCAACCTGATGGAGGATAGTCAGATTAAGCAGCAGGTGAAGGAAATGCAATAGACATAGAAAAATGAAGCTTCTGCTCATCATGTTTCTATGAGATTAACAGGCAGAGTTTAAGCTTAAAAAGTCAGAGACGGAAATGAATAGTGAAAATGTTACTTTTTCTTTTTTACTTTTGTAACAGCTATGGTTCTTGAGTTCTTCTTTTGAAAGTTGTCATTAATATGGCACTATTTTTTAATACAGTTCAAAGTCAGATCCAGCTGGTTACCATAAAAATAAGTTATCCTCTCCACAATTCACCAGTTCTCTTAGAGACAACTTTCTCCATAAGGCATCTGCCTTATTTTTAGACAAAACTGTGGCTATTAAATGTCTAGTTCATTTTAAAAACTACTATCAAGGTAAAACCAATAGGCACTGACATTGCAGTAAAACCTTTTCTACAATACTCTATTGCAATATTATTTCTTGTTTACACTGACCAGCATCCTGATAACCAACTGCAAAGACTTGATGTGGTAACAATAAACACTAGAATATTCAAAAGTACCCTAGTGTCCATCTGCAATACATCAGCACTATAGAGCGAGGCATGTGTCAGCTGCATTGACAAAGTAAAGGTGCCAGGGACTACTTCTCGCTTCCTCTCCTCTTTAAGTAAACCTTTAAAAGACAGAGAAATCTCTGTACTACAGAATGATTCACACCAGGTAAATAAATGCATTTCAGTTGCAATCATTCCTTATTGAGTTGAAGTGGTATTAAGCTTCTTTAATCTCATCAGTTTGAGAAAGCATGCACAAATGAAAAGGAGTGACTTTAACACTTTAGGAGGGGGAACTGCAGCTTGCAGAGAGCATCCAGCAAAGGAACAGGAATAATTTTATGATGACTGGGCTAAA